GCCGCTGGGCCTCGGAAGCCCGGGGCTGGGCAGGCATGCCACGCCCTCTGGGACAGCTGCCTATCAGGGTCCAGCTCTGCTCATTTCCCCCAGTAAGGATTGGAGATTCTTCCGGCATTGGCCCTGACCAGCCAGGGGAGAAGGCCTAGGGAGAGGCTAGGTGGAGAGACTTGGCTAGTTGCTATGGTAACCCAGATGGCTGAGTAACCATTTTGAGGGTTGCTATGGTGACGGGGTGCGGAGCCGCTGCGTGGCAGGGATCTTGTCTCTCTGGGTGGCTGGCACCATCCAGGCCTCTTCAATGAGCGATGCTGCACTTTCTGAACAGAAGAGGGCAGTATGATAGTGGGCAAAGGCTTCCTACCCAGAAGCAGATCTGGGAACTCTTAGCGTTTCCAGTAGCTAGGCAGAAAAGGAGCTTTGGCCGCCCCTCCACACTCCTGGCCAAAGCTGGTGTCTGCAAGGCTGGTGGGGTGAGGTCTGGAGACAGGTCTCCTGAGATTGAGACTAGAGGATTTTCTCCCAAGAGCTGGCCAAAGGATAGGGCTTGGGGCAGCCCCCTCAGTGTCTGGCTCCAGCTACTGTTGGGGAATGTAAGAGGCACATGAGACAGACAGCTTATCTCTGCAAGAAGAAAGAGAGAGAGCACATACACACATACCCTCCTAGCAAAGAATTTATTTGTAAGGCTTCAGTGAACACAGGTAAAATAACAGCATGAACCGAGCCCAGGAAGTGCTGGAAGTAAATCTAGAGGTTGGAGGGGAGCATTGACAGGAGAAATAATTTTTTAAAGAAAATATTTTATTGATTTTGTACAGAGAGGAAGGGAGAGAGATAGAGAGTTAGAAACATCAATGAGAGAGAGTCATCGATCAGCTGCCTCTTGCACACCCCCTACTGGGGATATGCCCGCAACCAAGGTATATGCCCTTGACCGGAATCCAACCCGGGTCCCTTCAGTCCCCAAGCCGATGCTCTATCCATTGAGCCAAACCGGTCTCGGCGACAGGAGAAATAATTTTGAACTTCCTTCTTTTGTCTTTGCACATCCCTCAGCTCTCGAGGCCACTGACTTGCATTCTCAATGGTCTTGAATTGCAGATCTAGCTCACACCCCCACCCCCATGTCTTCATTGTGGCATTCATGCCTTCAGCAAATATTTACTGAACATCTACGAGGTTCAAAATATTGTGTTAAGCCCTGTGATGAAGAAAGATGAAAATGGATGTCTCTCCTTCAAATTACTTGTGAACCGCAACCAGCCCAGGAGGCTGAGGAGGCAGCGATGCAGACACCCACAATACAGTGCAGATACCCATGTGTGTGGTTGCTCCAGGAATGGGGGAAAGAAGATGTGGTTGGGATTTTTGAAAAGGACTTCTACCTGGGTTGATTAAAAATAACTTCAGCCGAAACTGGTTTGGCTCAGTGGATAGTGTCAGCCTACGGACTGAAGGGTCCCGGGTTTGATTCTGGTTGCGGGCACATCCCCAGTAGGGGGTGTGCAAGAGGCAGCTGATCGATGATTCTCTCTCATTGATGTTTCTAACTCTCTATCCCTCTCTCTTCTTCTCTGTAAAAAAATCAATAAAAATATAAAAAATATTTTATTAAAAAAATAACTTCAGTTTGTGTAGGGTGAGCTTTGAAGATGGGTAGGCTTTCAGTAGGTGGAGTTGGGGGATGGAGGACATTCCAGGCAAAGGCTGAGCGTTTGATTATAGAGATGTTGCACATAAGGGTATCATGGGAGATAAGTTTATAAAGGAAGGTAGATGTCAAAATATGGAGGACTTTGAATGCCAAAGATAAGTATACTTTCTTCTTAAATACCCTAGTCAGCAAACTCCTTAGTCAACAGAGCCAAATATCAACAGTGCAACGATTGAAATTTCTTTTGAGAGCCACATTTTTTTTAACTTAAACTTCTTCTAATGCCACTTCTTCAAAATAGTTTCACCCAGGCCGTGGTATTTTGTGGAAGAGCCACACTCAAGGGGCCAAAAAGACCTGCAGTTTGCTGACCACGGCCCTAGTCTTCTAGCTAGCCAGAAGCCACAGGAAACTGAGTATTTTAGGATAATCTGGTTCACACATTCATGCATTTTATAAAAAAATGTAAACACATATTTAGTGAGTATCTCATATGTGCCAAGTAATTTACTAAATGCTAAGGATCCTGTGGTGAATAAGATAGACAAACTCAGCCTTCAGGAGCTAATGATTTAGTAAGGATGGAAGACACTGAATGAGACATTACCAAAGGCGTGTGGAGGGGGCAGGGGGACCTACTGATCTGGGGTAAGGGTGGAATTAAGGCAGGCTCCCCAGGGGGAGTTTCAACAGAGGGGGTGAGATGGAGTGAGGCAGGCCAAAGGAGGAGAGCAATGAAAGGTTACAGCCTGGGAGACTAGTCGGTGGGAAGGCCTAGAAGCAAGAGAGCATTTGAGGAGCTGAAAGAAGTTGAAAGTGGCTGGGCCTTAGGGAGAGGGGCACTTAAGACACTTAAGCTGGCAAAGATATCATGGAAAAATAGGGCTTTATTTACTTGTATTACCCTTTCCCCCCACTAGATGCCCTTCTGAGTACATCCTGTCTTCTGCTTCACCTCCCTGAGCTCCCCCACTCCCCCCCATTGCAGCCTCCTTAGAAATGCAAGCACAGTCTTACCATGAGGAGCAAGGGAAAATCATAGGCCCAAAGGAGAAAACCTCAGGGCTGTCCCAATTGTGTGGGCAGGCTATAAATTTAGACTGTTGCTTAGACAAAACCTAAAACCTCCCTTTCACATGCTTCCTTCTTCCCACTGCCCTAGAAGCTTGCTTTGTTCCTGAAACCTTGTAAAATTTCCTCTGTATAAAACAGGAACATCAGCCAAACATGTGGACTTCCCCCTTTCCATTCATTAGAATTCATTACTTCAAAATCTCCTGGGAGCATTTAAATGCAAATCTTGCCAAGAAAGCTACCTGAGTCTCAGAAGCCCCCTACCCACAACCCAAACCAGAACTTTCTTCCTTGATGACACCCTCTTGCCTTTTCCCCACCAAACCTCTCAGGCCTTCCACAAAGCCTGATTCCCAGAACAGACCGGCTTTCCCTCTGGCCTTAGTCTCTCCTCACCCTTGGGGAGCGTCCGTCCTAATTTTGGAGGGATCTGCTCACAAAGTGGCGCATCAGAGGGACTGGGGACTTTTCTATTTACTGTGATAAAATTGAGCAGCAGATGGCTGTTTGGGGGTGAGGGTGGAGGTGTGCATTTGTGTCTGGGCCTTCTTAGCCCTCCACAAATAATATGGGAAAGGCAGGTGACTCAGCACTGATACAGTCAAGATTCCCTAGTGTTAGCATTTCTATATTGTCTGCTGTTTACGAAAAATGTGCTTATGCCATCCGTCACCAACTCCTTCGTCATGCATTTTCTACTAAAAGCCTTTTATTTATTTTAAAAAGAATAAACCTCAAGCTTATTCACTTCTGTTTCTTAAACTGAGCTCATTAGCAGTGGACTAGCTTTTTTTTTTTTTTTTCTTTTCACAAAAGATTAATAAACTGGAAGGAAATGAGCATTTGTCCAAGACCCACCCCGCCTGCCCCCTTGTAGGCCCTTCCCTGTATGATCTATGCGGAGAACTCGGGCAGGCCAGCAAAACTTGATGGAAAAGATATGATTAATGATTTGCTCACCCGATTTCTGATTGTGGTGTGATGTGGAAACAGCCAGTGTGCGCCCTATTAGGGAAAAGCATTATTTCTTCTTCCTGTCATTAATGGGCTGAGCACAGACCAAATCCTTGGCACTACTCTTATGGCACAAAGATGCAGGCCCTGCCCCCTGGGGCAAGAAGCTGCTCTTTAAAAATCCTGAGAATGGGAACTGCAATAGAAGCCCAAGTCCCAATTTTGGCTGCTCAGTGTCGCATGAATTATATATATACTTTTTACTTGCTAATGCGCTGTTATGGTAAGATGAGCAAGCCTCACTTTTTTATCCACAACCACCTCTCCGCTTCCTGAAAATGCAAGTTAACAGACTTGATGAAGCTGGGGAGGAGGGTGGCTGGCTGGGGTAGCTGTGGACAGGCAAAAAGGTCACCTGCATTGACCCCAGTTCCTCATTCCCAGCTCCTGGGCACAGCGCTGCCTATGCATGTGGGTTTGAAGGACACACAGCATTCATTGGCTTTCCCTTTTTTCCCCTGACTAGTTAAGGCCCCAGAATCCTTTTCTTTGTTCCCTAACATCCTGGTTTAGCCTCAGGTTCCCACATTTCCCCCTTTCGGCCTAGTTCTGTGCGCATGGCAGGCTCAGGCTAACAGTCCTGTGGGGTCTCTCCTCTTAGGTCACCCCAGGTGCAGCCAGAGTGCTCCCTAGGTGTCACTCTCAGGCTCTGGCCGCGCTTCCCCGGCCTGGTTCACTTCGTGGAGCTTGGCCTGCCCAGCCGTTGAGGGTTCGGTTTCCTCCGTTTCTGGAAAACCCTTTTGTTCCTGGGATCCTTTGTGGCCTCGGAGTCGCCTGGGCCCCCCGCACTGCAGCCGTCGGGGCCCTGCTCGCTCGCCCGCCCCCGACCTGCCGGCCGGGCCCCGCGGCATCTGGGGCTCCGCTCTCCCGTCGCCTTCCGTCCCTCCGGGTCCCTTCCCGCAGCGACACCAGCCCGCCCGGGGCTCCCTCCCTTTGTCCCCGCGCCGGGGAGGTCACACGGGGCCGCCGTGGAGTGGGCCCGGCTCTCCCCGCCGCGGCGGCCGCCCAGCCTTTCATCCCGACGGCGTGGGGCCTCCCGGCCGCCGCTGCCCCGTAGACGCCGGGAACCGTGCGGGCAGCCGGGCGGCCCGGCGCCCAGCGAGGCCACGCCGGCGGCGGAGGGAGGCGGCGGGCGAGGGGCGGGCGGCGGGCCGGGCCGGCGCTCCGACTGGAGGAGCCGCCGCCGTGGGCGCGCCGGGCGGAGGGAGGAGGAGGAGCGCGGCGAGGGGCGGGGAGGCGGAAACGCGAGCCGGGAGGGAGCGCGGCTGCGAGCGAGCGGGCTGAGGGGAGCGAGCGCGACCGACCGACGGCCGGGCCGGGCGAGGCGGGCGCAGAGGAGCGCGAGGGGCCGCCGCCGCCGCACAAAGGGCCGGGGCCGGGGCCGGGGCCGGGGCCGGGGCGCCGGGCGCGCGGGCCTGGAAGCGGCGCGGGCCGGGGCCCGGGGGCGCGCGGCGCCGGGCGGCCATGGCTGGCTACGTGCCGGGGCAGCAGCCGGCCAACCGCAGCCAGGAGAAGGAGTTCGTGCAGGCGTACGAGGATGTGCTGGAGCGCTACAAAGGTGCGGCGGCCGGGGCGGGCCGGTTCGGGGCGGGGGGACCCCAGTCCGCGGCCGGCGCGAGGCGGCCCCCCGAGCCGCTGCAGGTGGGTGGGCGGCCGGCCGGGTCGCGCCCACCCCGGCGGCGCTGGGGCGGGCCCCGCGCTGAGGGGACTCGGGCCAGTTTATTTCCAGAAGCGGGGTGACCCCCGCGACCCCCTCCTCCGGATCGGGGAGCCTCCCCAGCGCTCCTGGCCCCGGGACTGTTATCCGGCCCCGCGGGGAGGCGGCGGTCCGGGAGCCGCCGGGAGCCGCCCGCCCGCCCGCTGAGGGAGCTGCCAGGAGGCGCGGGGCTCCCTCTGAGGCTCGGACCCCTGGGCCCGCCGAGGCCCCTCGCCCCCTTTGTCCTCCCGGGCCCCGCGGAGCCGGGCTGTGCACCCCGGGGCTCCTCCGGGGAGCCCGGCGTCCGTGAGTGTGCAGTTTCTGTGGCCAGGCCTCTCCCCCACCCCCCGGGGGGCTTCGGGCGGGACCGTTGCTGGGGGCTATGGCTTCCTTTCCTCAGAAATAGAGGTTTATCTTGGAGCTCGGGTTTCAGCCCCCGGGGGCTCTGCTGCCGAGCAGCGCTGCGACTTAGTGGCTTGTCCAGACCCGCGGTGTCGGACACAAAGTTGTGACAGGCCGGGGGGCCGGGGGCCCCCAGAGGTGGAGGCCGGGGTGCGTGGCCTCGCGTTGGTCTTGAACGTCCAGTTCCGGAGTTTCGCCTGGTGCGGCGGTTGTGCTTTCCGCAGACATGGAGGTTTTCCCAGAAACTCCATAAGGCAGCGCTTTCTCCTCTTGGGTTCAGCTGGGGCCCTTGTGCCTGGGCCCTTAGTTTTTTGTGTCTTTTTTTCCAGGAAAGGAAACTTCAGCCCTTTTGACTGAGTTCAGTATACTCAGTGAAGGGAAACTAATGAAGTAGCTGTAAAATGCTCCCCCTCATTTCTCCCCCCCCCCCCCCACTGGGGGATTGGAGCTCTGCTTGAGAATGGCGAGAGAGAGAGAGAGAGAGAGAGAGAGAGAGAGAGAGAGAGAGAGAGGGGGATAGGGAGGAGAGAGAGGGAGAGAGAGAGAGAGAGAGAAGAGAGAAATGAAATGCTAAAGTGGACTAGCTCAAGAGTTCTACTTGTTCCCTTCTGCATCAGCTCCTGTAAGCTGTCCAGGTTTTCCTGCCTGCAGCAAGTTTTCTGTCAACCCCCCGTGGTTTTCCTTTTAAGAAATGGGGTTCGTTTCTGAGCACAAAGAGGTTAGATTGTGCTGCTGAACTTCATTGAAAAGAAAAAAAAAAAAAAGCTGCTAAATGAATGGTTCCATTAAGGTTCCTTTGCAGACTTTTGAGCTACACCGTTCTTCAGAGGGAGGATTCCCTGGGCCTGTCTCGAGCTGTGACAGCTTTAAAAAAATAGAACTAGAACAAAAAGAGGTGAAGAAATCTCAGTGCCTCACTGGATCAGATTGCTGGTGGCCTCCAGCTGAAAGGAAGTTGGGTTTCTAGCCAACGAGACTAGGAAAGAAAGGGGAAAGTAGGGCTTGTTGGGGGAGAGGCCTCTTGTGTGCAGTCCTTTAGCTGTCTCACTCAGTTTGGCTTTCCTCTGAAGGACTTTGACCAGGTGTATAGGAATTTGATCCTTCCCAGACACAGATCTCTTTCTTGAGGGGAGGAATGAGTCGAAAATGGTTGGCCGAAGTAAATTCACTTGAGCTGGATGAGGTGGTTGTGCAGCCTCCTCTCTAATGGGTGTAGAAGAATTTTCTTTCCATCCCCACCGCTCCATTCTCACTGGGAAATCAGGATGGATTAGCATCCCGGCCTTTGTTACTTTGCGGAGTGGAATTCTTGCCCTTTCCAGACTAGAAATCCCCTTACTGCCTTAATCGGAGAACTGTTTTGCCTAAGCTGGAATCAATAGAATGACCCGGGGGGAGGTAGTTTGTTGAGGATAAGCTGCCAGGCGTTTATTTTGGAGAAACTTGTGAAAGTATTGATGAGGATGGGATTCTAGACTCTCATTGGTTGGCCACCAAATTACTTGGATCTTTAGGCTGCTGTTTATATGTAGTGCCTTATTCTACAAACGAAACATGTTTTTTTTTTGTATTCAGAAGAAGAGCTGAAGTTTTCAGCTGCATGAACTGCCCCCAGAAGGGGCAAAGGTGAGCAGGGAAGTGATATATTTGCAGTGTGTAAGGGTGTAGAGCAGTATGTTACAGCTATATTAGGAATGGTTGTCAAGCATGGACTTTCCAGAATGGTGCCTGGCAACACTTTCCCTGTATATTGGTAGTGAGCATGGTTTTGGCAGGATTAGATGATTCAGTATGGACGTAAACACTTTCTCATTTCCTAAGTATGCCAAAGGCTCTTTTAGAGTCTGGACTAGGGGTGTCGAACTCAATCAGAGAAGGGGCCAAAATCTAAAATCCAGCCTAAATCTCGGGCCGAATGGTTTACTGAACTGTCATAAACTGTCATTGTGATGGAAACGCAGCGGAGTGCAGTGATGACAGCGCGGTGCGGGCCACATTGCAAGGCCTGGCGGGACGGATTTGGCCCGTGGGCCTTGTGTTTGACACATGTGGTCTGGACTGACCAGCAAACAGGAGTATTAGATAGTAACTCTGGATCCTAACGGTTCAGAGTAGACAGCAACCAACAGAGCCAGAGTATGTGCTTTATTTATTTATTAAAATATATTTTATTGCTGAAACTGGTTTGGCTCAGTGGATAGAGCGTCGGCCTGTGGACTGAAGGGTCCTGGGTTCGATTCCGGTCAAGGGCATGTACCTTGGTTGCGGGCACATCCCCAGTAGGGGGTGTGCAAGAGGCAGCTGATCGATGATTCTCTCTCATCGATGTTTCTAACTCTCTATCCCTCTCTCTTCCTCTCTGTAAAAAAAAAAATCAATAAAATATATTTTATCTGTAAAAAATCAATAACATATATTTAAAAATAAATAAATATAAAATATTTTTTATTGATTTTTTTACAGAGAGGAAGAGAGAGGGATAGAGAGTTAGAAACATCGATGAGAGAGAATCATCGATCAGCTGCCTCTTGCACACCCCCTACTGGGGATGTGCTCGCAACCAAGGTACATGCCCTTGACCGGAATCGAACCCAGGACCCTTCAGTCCGCAGGCCGACGCTCTATCCACTGAGCCAAACCGGTTTCGGCAAGAGTATGTGCTTTATTCTTCCAAGCTGCCAATAATTATTAAATACCTATTATAGATCACAGAGTGTTAAGCCCTGGAGATGCCAGAATTATGAATGAGATCTGCTTTCTTTCCTTGATCATTCACACCTTAGCAAAGGAAAAAAATACGCAAACAAGTAATTGTGATACTGCGTTAGGTGCTAGAACAGAGGTATATATAAAGTACTTTGGAAGTTAGAGGAGGGATAGCTATCCTCCCTTGGGGTTCATTGAGAGACTTGACAAAGGAGGTGACACTTTAGGAGTGCACCTTTAGGGATGAATGGGATTTGGTCAGAGGGTGGGGAGGGCAGGAGGCAGAGGGAATTAATAGCATGCGCAAAGGTTTGAAGGTGTGAAAATAAATGCAAGTGTTTGAGGAATGTGAGTAGTTGGGTATGACTTAAGGGCTAGAGTTGGTTTTTTTAATATATATATTTTATTGGTTTTTTACTGAGAGGAAGAGAGAGAGCTAGAAACATTGATGAGAGAGAAACATCGACCAGCTGCCTCTTGCGCACCCCCTACTGGGGCTGTGCCCGCAACCAATATACATGCCCTTGACCGGAATCGAACCTGGGACCCTTCAGTCTGCAGACCAACGCTCTACCACTGAGCCAAACTGGCTTCGGCAGGGCTAGAGTTTTGATGGGAGCAGATGGTACTGTAAAGGATCCAGAGTTCAGCTTGTAAAAATTCTTTTATGGTTTTATTCAGTGGGCAGTGGGGGGAATCAATCATTGAAAGTTTTTAAAAAGACATTTTTTATTGATTTTTTTACAGAGAGGAAGGGAGAGGGATAGAGAGTTAAAAACATCAATGAGAGAGAAACATCGATCAGCTGCCTCCTGCCCTGTGGATGTGCCCATGACCAAGGTACATGCCCTTGACTGGAATCGAATCCAGGACCCTTCCTTCAGTCCTTGGGCTGACGCTCTCTCTGCTGAGCCAAACCGGTCAGGGCTGAAAGTTTTTTTTTTTTTTTTTTAAAGCAACAATTACTACACCAATTTTATTGATTCATATTAGAGGACACACCTGTCCAGTGATTGGAATACTTAAATCACTATCTGGGGCGCCCTTCCCCTTGTACCAAAGTACTTATGAAACTAGTAATCAGATGGTTGCTTGGTAAACATGGAAACAGAAGAGAGGTGCAGTGTTTTGAGGACTGTTCATCCAGATGATATGGACCAGTCACCAAGTTTCCCTCTCTGTAGATTGAGATCCTTATGAACCCCTAGGAAAACAAGAAGGAGTGACCTATCAGAGAGGTGGGAGAACCAGGACCTGACTCTTCTCCCAGGACAGAGACAAACTCGACTGAAGAAGCAGGCCACATGGACATAGTTTTAGGTTTTTTATTTTTTTATTTTTATTTTTTAAATATATTTTATTGATATTGTACAGAGAGGAAGGGAGAGAGATAGTTAGAAACAACGATGAGAGAGTGTCATCGATCAGCTGCCTCTTGCACACCCCCGACTGGAGATATGCCAGCAACCAAGGTACATGGCCTTGACTGGAATTGAACCTGGGACCTTTCTGTCCCCAAGCCGACGCTCTATCCATTGAGCCAAACCGGTTTCAGCCAGTTTTAGGTTTTTTAAAGAGAACAAACACAGTCTGAGTTTATAGGGATTGGAAAAGCAGAAAGGGTAAGATGTGAACTGGCAGAATTAGACTGCTTTCACAAAGCCCAAAAGACTAAAGAGTGTTTCCATGCCAGCCTGGACTAGGAATAAAAGAGAACATTCACATTTCAACACTGGTAACATGGACTACCTGGT